AAACACGTAAAAATATTGCCCTAAGCAGTGAAATGAGATCAAGTTCAAGAAGACAAAAAGCATGCCCTACCAAGTAAAATAATGCCATTTCTACATAGGCAGTTCTGCAGAGGAAAACAAATGAAAAGTGAAAAGTGAAAAGTAGTCCTTTTGCTTCCTTCAGCACAAAGGTGGAGGTGGAATCAAACCACCAAAGCTCATGCTCACGTTTTCTTGCAGACAAGATATTTCACTCTTGCAGCTTTCTCATCACCCTGTTGCCATAACTATATGGGAAGTACATAAAGCTATCTGTACTGTTTAAACCCTCACATTTTGACAGAAAATTGGATGATATGACATGCTGCCTCCCAGAACAGGTGCTGTCTATCACCTTGCTGCTAATCTCGGTGATTAGTGACCTGCAATGTAAGGCAGCTATCAAAGACCACCTGTCCTTTTTGCTATAAGCACCTCCCAGCATATCGCTTTGTGGTGTCACTCTCCCTTGTCTGTTTTTTGATTGATGCAAGTTTCTCTTTTGAGCAGTGACTCAGAAAATAAATCATACCCCTTGCCATTCATTGAGTGCGATCCTGCAGCACAAAGCCGGTGTGGTTAATCAAAGCTCCAAAGAGCAACAAAACCCAACAGAACTGAGAATGAGGAGGAGAGATATAAAGGATAAAACATCATAAAAAGGATTATTTGGAAGCCAACCAAAGCAAAAGCAAAATAAAAAGTGCTTCAAATAAGCATCATGTTTGCTGCACTACTGCACCAGAACCAGAAAGCTGATTTTTGTGCTCTGTTCCCTGACATATATGCAGGGATGTGAGAAGAGTCCCACCCTTCTGAAAAATATAACTATATCAAGGAATCGGATTTTACAGGCTTTTACTTCTAAGTAACACTTTCTAGGGTCAGTAGGATTTTTCTGAGTAGAGTAAGTAAAGAGAGAAGGATGCTTCTATTGTGAGCTGTACTCCAGACCAGTTTGCGGTCCAGCTGGGATCGGACCCCCATACACAGAGGGCTGCTAAAAATAGGAATGGCTATTGGAGCTAATTTGCCTTAATTAAACATTTTAAAAAGGAAAAAAAGGTGAAATTTTATATGTTATGCAGACAGCAGTATTATGAAAGAAACATACAGAACTAGAAACACTGCATTATAGGACAAGAAAATCCTTTCCAAATATAAATGATTCAGAGCAGGAAGGTTTTGTGCTTTTATGGAGGGAAAATGAACACAGAGATGGAAAGGTACATAGTACATATTAGAAAGCCTGTTCTTTAACATCCAGTCCAGCAAGTTTATGGAAGCTTTTAAAATTATGAGGAGCAATCATGACCTAAAGACGGAAAGAAACTGGTGGCTGAGTATGTAACTGAGACGAGTGTGATTCTTTGTGTTTGTCATGTGCCAGAGAAGTCAGGGAAAATGTGAGGTGTTGGTGGCACTGATGAAATTGTAGCAAAAGTAAAATCTAGACACAAAATCTAGACAAAGAGTAGCAGATAAAAAAATAATAATCTACCACAAAAAGCTATGTGGCAAACTCTCTGACAAACACAACTCCGTTTGAAAGTAAGATATTTAAACATCTGGGAATTGGGCCATAAAACTGAGATGACAAGAACTGCATGTCCATGCAGAAGTGCTGGAAACTTACTTAAGTCAGGTAAATGCAACAGTTCAGTCTTTAAAAATAGCTTTTAAAAAATCTTCATTATATTTTATGGAGGTAACCTTTCTATTTGGAGAGTCAACCCAAGCTGTGAGGGAGAGAGAAATAAAAAGCTAAGAGTTAAATTTATAAAGACATGAATGAGTTGGGAATAGAAACACTGTTACAGAGGAATGTGCATATGGATGGTGTAAATTTATAGGGCTATTTTTGATGTACTGTAGGAGAATTTTCAGTTTTTCAGCACCTTTCCTTACAAAAAGAAAACCCTTCATCTGGTGGGAATTCAATTTCCTCATGTTTTTTTGTCATTTCCTAAGTTGCAAGGTTACTAATGGTAATTGCAGACCCTGTTTGTACCTTGTGGCTCTAGCACTGCAAAAAGGTTTCCTTGGCACATGTTACTTTCCTTCTAGAGGGTTTTTAAATGACCAGCCCTAGGTAGGAATTGCTACAATGCTTGGGAGCAGACAGAAGCCACCTTTCCTCATTTCTTTCTTAGAGAGTAAGCACTTCTCACTCACAGTCTGCTATCTTCATCCCCTGTAACAATAAACCACAATTTCAGTGTTCATTATAGTGGCTCTCAATACTGGGCATTTGTGAAGAAGCCTGTTTTAAGGTGTTATATTCAAAAGTATAACAAACCTGCTCCTTCTAAGGTTTTCAAACAAAGATGCTATAAAGGAGACAAGTGGATTCAATAACAAGTGTAAAAAGTCACAATTTTTCAAGCCAAAAAAAGCTTTTTTTTAAAAAAGGGGAGATGACAGTGCACTGAAAGGCAAACAGATGCTCTATTTCTTTCATTTCTTTCCAGCATGAAAGCACCAATATGTTTGATTCAATGCAAAAAAAAAAAAAATCTAGAAATATTTGGTAGATTTCTTACATGCTGCTATTGTTCTATAGCACAATGCAATCTCTTTCACTATTGCTTTTACATTCAGGCCTTAGTTTTGTACCTTTACTCTGCAATACATTTACTATGTCAGTTTTGGCTGGTGAGTAATCCCATTTGCATTCACTGTATTGCATTTACCTGAATGAATTTAAGTCAATGAGTTTAGTGGGTTTAAAAACATGTTTGAAGTCTAAGTGGTGCTCAAATCTCTTTGGATGACTTAACTCGTTAAAGACACTCCTCCTTTCCGCTCTCCCTCCCTAAGTGTTAAATAGTTTCTGTGAATTTTGCTGACAAACAGAATGTATGAACGTGGTCTGGAATAGACTAGAGACAATGGATTTTATTTTGGGGATTTTTTCGTTTTGTTTAGTTTAGTTTTGTTTTGTTTTTTAATACTAGTGTCTTTATTCCCAGGAAGAATGCTACAGAAGCCAAACAAGGTGTTGGAATTGGGAGCTGTCATTACAAAGCTGGTTTTGGCGGTTAAAGGGACAAAACCCTTTAGCAGTTTTAGCACAATCAGAATTGCAGAAATAGGAGTGTGTCATGGTTTAACCACACAAGAGTCATAAGAGTGTAACTCTGCTTCTTCTTTGCCCAGCTGCCAGTTTACCTCATGGCCTTCCTGTCATTCTTGCTTTCTCCTGCAACCTCTCTTCAACTCCAGTATTTCTTTAGTTGTGCATGTGCCAGACAGCTTTTCAAGCAAGAAATTAATAATAAAATGTTATCTTCAGGCTTCAGTATTACTATTTTAATTTGTAGGTTTTCAGAACCTGTGCTAGGAGTCTTCCATCCTTCACACATCCTTCCTTTAAAACTCCTCAATTTTAAAACCCACAAATACTATGTTACACCACATCCCTGTAAGATGAACCTACAAAGCTCACAGCACATCCCATCCCCAACTACGGCACCATAGCTGTGTGAGGGCAGGTGTAGATTAGGTATTAGGAAGGAATTCTTCCCTGTGAGGGTGGTGAGGCACTGGCACAGGTTGCCCAGAGAAGCTGTGGCTGCCCCATCCCTGGCAGTGTTCGAGGCCAGGCTGGATGGAGCTTTGAGCAACCTGGTCTGGTGGAAGATGTCCCTGTCCATGGCAGGGGGTTGGAACAAGGTGATCTTCAAGGTTCCTTTCAACCCAAACCATTCTAGGATTCTATGGTTCTCTGAAATCCAGGACACAGCATCTGAAGCAGGGCTAGGATCTGAGTCATGGACGAGTAAAATTTCATTAGTACATTCAGGATTTAGCTTTTCAAGAAATGCCAACAGAATGTGATTCAGTTCTTGCCATATATTTCCATATGAATTTGCTGTGAAAAAGACCAAGAACTAATAGGTGCTTTCTGAACCTTTTGCTTTCTATTTTTAAATCCTGATGGTAAACAAGAGTATCCTGGGGTGGCATTTAGAGAATCAACTTCTGTTCTTTAGCAGTCAGAAGGATTCAGTTTCTGAGAAGCTCAGCTGATAATTACAGATTTTCCATGTTTGGTTTGTGTATTTTATCATTATTTTTTCTCATAAACAAATCTAGGTATTAAAAACCATGTTTTTCCATCTTGATGCAAGTCATTGCATTTATTTTTTCTGTGTTTTCTGTCATGTTTAATAAACTTGAAGTAAAAAGACCATTTATTAATTATTTTGACAAAAATACTTTTAATACGTTTTATTTCTGATATCTGTTTCCCCTTTGTGCAGATATGTGTGCTTGTATTGCAGTGCATATGTACATTGGTTTTTCCACAGAAATAAATCCCAGGCCATGTTGTTACATGAAGCAGAACACTATTATTTATTTACACTTTCTCAGCTCTGCCTAAGTTCTAATATATTTCCACTTGAGTGAAGATGAGCCCTCTGAAAAGGAAGACATTTTTATGTCATTTCCATCCACATCTCACTTCTTTATTCTTCCTTTCTTCCTCTCCCTTCCCACTTGCCCTCTTATACCATCCCATTCTTTTGTTCATACATTCTAACCTCATGATTTGTGGAAACATTTTTAAAACCACAGGACAGCATTTTTCCAAAGCCCTCTAGTTGCCCATATAGAGACATTTCAACATTACCTGATTTCCCAGAGATTAGATGACTTATGAATACATGCCTCCTTGAGGTCTCTGAATCACTTCCTACAGAAAGAAGACACACAATATCACAATCAGTTCCAAATTCCCAAGTGCATGCCTAGTTCAGATAGATGCAGGTTGCTGAATATATGTATCCTGTTAGCAGTGGCAATTATTAAATGAGTCACACATAATTGAGACTTTCTTTTTATTGGTAATTGTTCTAAGAGGGTTTTTCTGCAATCCATTGAGTAACATACCTTTTCTTCAGTGTAAGAATGTATAAAGAAGGCAAATTAGCCATTGAGTGCCCAAAGGCATGACATTTTTTAATTCTCTCTTTCAGGTTATTCCAATCTGACCGCCACATAGACGTCATTATTTTAATGTTGAATACTCAGACAAGGGTGCCATGGATGTAAAAGAAAGGAAGCCGTATCGATCTCTGACTCGGCGCCGCGACACTGAGCGTCGCTACACCAGCTCTTCAGCCGAGAGTGAGGACAGCAAGGCACCCCAGAAGTCCTACAGCTCCAGTGAGACCCTGAAGGCTTATGATCAAGACTCCAGGCTGACCTACAGCAATCGGGTCAAAGACATGGTGCACCAGGAGGCTGATGAATTCTGCCGGGCAGGTGGGTTACTTTTCAGCAGATTCAGCTGTAAACAGCATGAGGGAATCAGCTGAGAGACAGAGCTGGGTGGGAGGCTACCTTTGAAAGACTCTGAGCCCAAAAGCAAGATGTAAGAGAGAGATTTAAATAGAGCAGCAGAGATCATCTTCATTGTATTGCACAAGACACTGTGTGCAGCCCAGTGTCCTTAAGTAGCATACCCATATCCCATGTTCATTAGCACTTACTAAGACACATTTTCTGTATCTTAGTCTTTCTGTCTGCAGCAGCACTTTGCCACTTCCCACCATGAGACTAGAACCCCCTGTGCACATGCTGTATGGTACTGACATAACATGGAAAGTTCCTGCCTGCTCAGGAGACCTTTCACTCTGTCACACGCCTGCTCTGTCATGAGTGAAGTCAATGAGGATGCTGAGGCAGAAGGCAACAAGGGGAGAGTGTCACTGTCCACACTGTCCATGTGGTCTACAGCAAAATCCAAGAATCCTGGAAGAAAGGAGGCAACTGAAGTCCAGATGGGATGAACCCTCTTGGCCTGTAGGCTTTAGGTTTGCCTTGGGGACATGCTCCAATATTAGAGTAAGGAACCACTTCAGGATTTACAGGAGCACATTTAGTGAATCTGAGTCCCAGTATCTGTGAAGATGTGGAGTTTCAGTAGTCACCATGGACTCCACAGTTCTAACAGAGATTACAGATACCCTGAAGTCAGTGCAGTTAGAATTTTCACTGCTGTTATTGCCTGTATGAGGTAGATTTCTATCCCCTACTATAATACTCATCTTCATTTTTCTGTAGTCCAACCAGGACTTCACATAAATTGTTTTTAGCAGTCCATCAAGAAAAGCATAAAATGGCAAAATGAGTCAAATAGAGTAGGCAGCATTCCAGAAAGTGGACATAAACTAGCCAACCCAGAGTACTCTGAGCACATCCTCTGCAATATAGAGAAGCCGATTCCCCAAAAGAAATGCATATTATTACACTCATTAAACTTGGGAGCTGCTTGATTTCTCCTCAAAAATCATGCACTTGTGGTTTTGGTGCAAGACTCTTCTTCAAGGCACACACAGGCAAAATTATTTGCTGAAGTATCTTCATGCATATGTCTTTGCTCTTTGGGTTTCAGAATAGCTGCAACAGGCAATAATCAACAAAAGGGCCAATAGTTAATATAAGTAACACTGTGACATCATGAAAGCAGTTTTCCTCCTAGCAACTCTGAAGTACTTCATCCCCTCTAAGGAATGTATGACATTATAAAGAAAAGGAAACTTTTTAGGTCATTGCATTTGCTTACTTCATACAATATATTCACCATGCAGGATAGATGTGAATTAGTCCAGGTCAGCGGTTTTCAACTTGGAGGTCCATGAGGCCATGCAGATCTATGGACTTCTCCTAAGAAGCCCACAAAATATTACCTTTCTTGAAAATCCAGTCTGTTGACAGGGAGTGTAAATTTTCTATACACAAGCTCATGCTTCCATAGGAAAATTTTGAAGGTACTGAGTAAAAATGACTGGTCAAAGTAACTGAAATTCATTGAAAAGTTAAGATTAACCATGTCAGGGCACCAGTTCTGTTTCTGATATAAGTCTCACAAATGGCTCAACTTAAAGCTTTCTCCCAGTTTATCCTGAGGGTCCCAAAACTGGCCTGAAGAGTGTTAACAATTATCCCAGACTTTCTGTGCCACATTTTCCGCTGGCAGTAAGCCAGGAATGGACCTCTCTTTGTGATGCTTCTTGGCTTCAGGCCAGCTGAAACCAAGCCTTATTAGCCTGCTTGACATCAACAAGGCAAAGTGAATTTCTCTCCTGCATTGGTTTGGAAGGCAGAGGAGGGAAACATTTCAAATTGACCAAATAAATTCAGTAAATAAACAAGTCAGCATTTAAATGGTTTTAGCTAGAGTGAGTGTCAGCAAATGTGCAAGTCAGCACAGGAGAAAATAGACCAGATCTGAATTAAAAAGTCTTGGATATTTATTATCCTCCTTTTATTGACTTGAGTTCTTCCAGCTTAAAAGGCAACAGTGAGCATAGAATATGAAAATCAATGCATCTGCTGCTGTTTATTGCAAATAAATTTGATTTTCAGTTAATTGTAGCAGTCATTTTTCATAATTTATGAGCTGCTGTTACTGGAGAACATCTGTCATGCTGCACATTGATGTGCCTGTTGGTGCTGAGTGTGGCTTCTTTCAGGCAATGGTGGAACTTGCCATCAGTGACTCAAACACGCAAAGAAAACCAAAAGATATTTTTCAGTACTCCACAAGGAATGGTTTAGAAAACCATGTAAGTCAAAACTAGAAGAGAAGAGCAAGGTCTCTGGGGAGATACTGCTTCCTAGCATTTATAACTTAGGTCGGGTTTATTTGCTTCCTCGTGCCATGAGAATGTAGAGGACAATTCCTCAAACCACTTTGTAATCACGTTAAATGGATTACTTTTCCACAAGCTTGTGTTGTTCTTCCCAAGCAAGGGTTGGACAGAGGTGTGAGCCCCAAGCAACCTTTTCTGTCCACTCTGTCTGAAAGTTTTAATCTTATTTGATCAATTAAAAAGGTGTGAAGTTCATGAATCCTTTATACAGTTGGAGTGTTGTCAGCTGCAGATCTGTAACCAGCTGAAGCAGAATTTTGTCCTGCTATCAAACAGTTCCTTCTCTGAGCTATATATAAAAATGTGGCCCAGCCCCACTATTCACCTTGCATTCAGATATCTCCTCTTTGTTCACTGTGAGCTATAAATTCAACTGAATGAAAACATGTAGTAAAATAGCATCTACTTTTGACCACCTGTCATCTGATGCATGTGTGCTGTAATATGAGAGACCTTCCCCAATCATCAGGGTTCAAGGACAAACTAGGCTGTTTCCAGAAGTGTGAAACCATACTCTGGAAAAACAGAAAACCATTTCTGTTGGATACACATTTTTTTCCACATGATATTTGACATCAACAAATAGAAATGTGAGAAAAAACACAAAATTGTGGGATCTTGAGAAGGGAGAAAATGGTAATTCAGCTTTGGATACAACCTTGAGATCCAGACTTGATAAACAGATTTCAATAATGAGTAGTTATGAACTTCAGTTTTCAAAGGAAGGTTTGTGCCTGAAATTTACTGGAGATCGTGCATTCAGATTTATCTTGTTGAAATATGCCTGAGCCGCAAACTGCTCATTTCCTTAATCCATCCAGGGCATAGCATAACAGAAGCATGGGTTCATTGAGCTGTATAAATGCACTGTGCAGCTAAAGGCACTCATGGGTGGCCAAAATCTTTTCAAGATATTCAGGGTTGAAAAATAAATGCATGCATTAATAAATAAATGTGGATTAAAATTGCTCTCCCCAGCCTCATTGTGGAACTTTTTAAACAAAGTATGCTAATATTTGAAGCCTATTCACATCAATTCAGTCTGATTTTGAAGCTCTGCAGGTAACTAGACATGGAGTCAAGAGTCACTTTTCAGGTCATATTTTTAGTCAGCTAAACAATCGCATCTATTTGCAGCCAAATAACCTCTGCTGTGACTCTCTCAAAATGAATAGCTAAATGTGAGTCAAGGTGTGAGTAGCCAGCAAGGGGAAAGTGAAATCGCCAAAGGAAATTTAAATCCCCAATATGTAATTTCAGGGATTTCAATGAGCAGAACTCACTCAAATTGCCTATTGTAGGAAAGTTGTCAGGTTTTGGTAGGACTTTTGATCATTGCACGCCTCATTTTGCTTTTTCCACAAGAAGATTACTTTTTGCCTCTCCTAAGTATTGCACATTTCTACATCCGTTTTTGCTTTCAAACTTGATGATTTCATTGAACATGCCCTGAGTTTTTGTCAGGTTCTAGAAGCAGGAATCCAGCCACTTTTTAGTCTTGGCATGTTTGAAAAGAGGTTGTCGTGAGCAGGGGCTACTGGTGTCTTCTCCCAAGTAACAAGCAATAGGACAACAGGAAATGGCCTCAAGTGACACTAGGGGAGGTTGAGATTGGATATTAGGAAAAATTTCTTCATCGGAAGAGTGGTCAAGGATTGGAACAGGCTGCCTACAGAAGTGGAGGAATCACCATCTCTGGAATTGTTATTAAGAAAAGCATAGATGAGGTGCTTAGAGACATTTTCCCATGGTGGACTTGGACATGCAGAGTAATGCTTGGATTTGGTGGTCTTAAAACCTTAATGATTCTATGATTCTCACAGTGAGCAGGACCACAACCACAGAAGAGAGGTATCTTTTGTAGGATGTTACTGTGTCCTATGTGATGCTGCTGTGCCCCACATAAAGGTAGAGGATGCTTCTGCTTTTGATATGTGCTAGATGGCACCATGCCCTATTAAAGAATAACCCAGCTGATGTGTTTTTCTCACAGGAGCCAACTTCTCTTTGCGAGAACTGGGACTTGAAGATGTGACACCCACACATGGGGCTTTGTACCGGACCGACATCGGGCTGCCTCACTGTGGCTACTCCATCAGCGCTGGCTCAGATGCCGACACAGAAGCAGACGTGGTCATGTCACCCGAGCACCCAGTGAGGCTCTGGGGACGCAACACCAAGTCCGGGCGCAGCTCCTGCTTGTCAAGCCGGGCCAACTCCAACCTCACCCTCACCGACACGGAGCACGAGAATACTGAAACCGGTAAGTGGTGACAATGCATGCAAGTGTCAGCCTCGAGTTCTATAAGAAATGTCTCTTCCTACTACTTCACCTTAATCTTCCTTAGGTTTAGTGATGCGGTTTTTTATCAGACTCCATGAAAACACTCTTCTAACAGCCCCAGTCGTGGCCTTTTTACTGTCCTACAGAGTCTTTGTTAATGAACTGCTGGAGAAGCTCCTACTTATTTATCACTGCGACAGAGATCATTAAATAGCTGTAATACTCTCCCTGCTTTTTGCAGCAACCTTTCAGAGGGAAGGCATTTAAATCTCCCCTCCTCTGGCCAAAGCTACTCTTATCTTTGCTCAGATTTTCTAGATAGATAATTTTCTTCTTTTCCTTGCTGGTTCCTTGACAGGGGCTGCTTCATTTATGTAAATTGGCTGACTACTCTCTGAAGGAAAATGATGGTGAAATATTTTTAGAAGCCCTTTTCTCTGTGTGAAATAAAAGCTGAAGGTCACAGATTTTTTTATCTCTGTGACTTTGTGTCCCCAGCTGCGGGGGATTCCTGCATGCCTTTTGTAGGTCTCCGAACCTTTTGGTCAGCAGTTCTGCCAAGCAGTGTAGGAGAAGGAGAGGGGATTTTGATTCAATTGCAACTTGACCCAGGAGTTCATCCAGTCCTGTATGCCTTTGCACCTTTAATTCAATTATAGCACAGCCTGCTTCTTGATATAGCTGCTGCATACAAGTCATTGGGCACTTGTGCTCGGCGCAGAAAGCTCATGTGAAATGACTGTATCACTTGTTCTTTTCATGCTTTTTGCCACAGTATTATAGTGACAAATTATGATAAGTTTTCCTCTGGAAGCCATGACAGTGAGACATACACCACCCACATGATTTTATGTTTAACTCCAACAAAATTACAGTTGAAGCTTATTAAGTTTCTGCTCAGAGATAATGATATATTAGGCAGAGTTCACAGATAAATGGTCTTCTGTTAAAAGGATGTACAGAAGAATCTTTTTAAATTATCTTTACTATACTTGTTAAAGATTCTTGGTCTTACAAGCAGACACAGAGTGTCAGTTTACATTGTTTTCCTTCTGATCCTTGTGTTTTGATGAAAAATCAGAGGGATCATCAGGGTCGATTAAAGTTTTGCACACTCACAAGAAATTGCTAGAAAACAGCCAAAAGTAAGCACCTCATGCTTCCATCCTAGTCTCCTCTATCCAAGCTCTCACATGCTTTTCATGTGATGTGTGAGCAGCTGCGATCCTATCCCATACATTTTTTCTTTCCATGCCTACTAAAAAAGCAGTATACAGAATTTTAGCTTTGTGGCTTTTTATCTTTGGTCTTAACAGAGGAGAATTGCAGTATCTGCAGGAGTCTTTCTCCCTGCTATCTCTACACCTGAAAATGCAACTTTGTACCTACAGATTACTTTTAAAGACATTATATTAGAAACAGCACATTAGCAACTTCGTATGCCTTGAAGAGCTCTGCTGAAAGTAATCACAGAGGGTGTAGGACTCATGTCAGGTTGGAGATAACCTTCAATTCCTCTTTCCTTAAGTTTAATGGCACACTAAACATTTGTTGAACCATCACTTCATAGCAACTAGAAAAAGGGAAACGAGAGGTGGAGAACATACAGTGCTGTATAAATGTAGGAGTTTCCTTGGAGCCTAGGCATTTGCAGTCTTAGATGTTGGGTGTTTTGAATGAGAAAAGCTGGATCACACTAAAATCAAAAGTCTGTGTAGCACAAATAAAACATAGATTGCTGTGGTGTCCAGTGTAATAGTATAACAATACTGGAAAAAAAAAGGTGGAAGAACTTGAAGGAAAATATTAAGATACAAACTGTGGTGGTGGTGCGCTTTATCTGATGCTTAAACTTTCCTGGGAAGATGTCATAGACATCGTACCATGTTCAGGTCAGAAAAGCTGGTCCAGAACTGAGAAAAAGTTCACTTTAATATAGGGATTGCGGTTGAATTGGTGGTATTAACATATCCAAACAAATGTTGCAAGGTAGAAATAAAAGAAGGTTAGGGAAAAGTCTTTTAAGTAGGCAGAATTTGAGCATTTTCTTTTGTAATTGCTTGGAACAAATAAAGGTGCAAGAAACCTTTGTGTACAAACTCCTCACCGCCTAAGACCTGCTGTAGGAGCAATGGAGCCTGAGATCCTCTCATAAGCTTTTTCTGCCAAACATAAAGATGTTTCCTCCCTCCTCATTCCACATAAGTAGTGTTTCTCTGGGCTGCTAGCTATCACACAGGTTATTTTTAGAAATCCCAGATTTACAGAAGAAGCATTTTCAAGAAGACATGAAATTTTGCTAATGGCAATGCAAAGTAACATAATGCTATGACTCAGTTTACAGGATACCTTTATGAGCCAATATTAATTGTTGACAGTATTGATAGAAGTTATAGCCTTTAGCGGAAGTCAATATGGACTTTATGAACCTGCCATCAATAGAAGAGTTTATGGGGCTCATTAAACCAACTTCTCCAATGAAGGTCAAAGTCAGCAGTTTTTATGCTGTTCATTATTTATCCAAAATAAATAATCAGAATTTACTTCTGATGTTTGTAAATCCAAAGTTGTCAAAGCATGAGTCTGCCAAAACATTTATTGTGTTCCTAGAAAAGGAGAGGTCTGGCTCACTTGAAAAGTAGGTTTATTTTTATTTCAGGAGTGGTCATGCCTTAAAGGAACAGATATGCTGCTCAGAAAGGATAGTCACAGTCCATCCCTGTCCTTAAAAGGGGCCTATGAAGTGCTCTGCTTTCATGGCATATTGTAGTCCATAGATCACTTGCGCTGGGATCTGGCATGGAAAGCAATACGCAGCTTGATCTAAACTGTTGAGAGGTTTTCACAGAATCACAGAATGGTTTGGGTTGGAAGGAACCTTAAAAAACATCCATTTCCAAGCCTCTGCCCTGAGCGGGGACACCTTCATTAGGCTGAATGCTTCTAGGAGGCTGAGTGTTTTTGCTAAGTCAAGAGTTTGTTTTCACTAAAGAGTTTAGTTATAACTCTGGCATTGCCCTGAGCTCACATCCTGCACACTCAAACAGCCACGATGGCTTCCTCTCCAGTGGACAATGCATTTCACTTGACCTGGATAGTCACTTTGCACCGGGAGGGGACAGAGGCACAGCTCACGTTGCTGCATCTTGCTTGGGGACAGTGCCATCATTCTCTATTGCTGATGTAGCAGGCACTTTATATGGCTCAAGGGGTTTTCTGCAGCATGATCATGATCTGAACTGGAACTGTGAACTCCCATTAAAAGTTCAGAACCAAGCACAGAGCGAGTCTGGTTCCTGGAAGTCTAGCAATGATTTTAGGAGAACTTCTTTCCTATAGTAGATTGCACTATTTCTCAGCAAGACTGATTCAAGCAAAAGAAGTTCCTGAAGTGGTCATTTGGACTGAAGCCTGGAGTTTCCTGGAGGTACCTTAGCTAACCCCGGACAGGATTTGTACTGAGCCAGCAATTGTTTACCATAGGGAAGAGCACATTGAAGAAGAGCGAGGTAATAGTCTTCCAGAAATTGGTTTATTTTTCAGCAATTTAGTCACATACAAAAAAAAAAAACAAAAAAAAAAAAACAAAAAAAAAAAAACCAAAAAACTTCTAATAATAAGAACATCATCATAAATATACAGTAACACAGGATAATTTACACTGAAAGGCATTGCTGAAAGTCTCTGGTCTCTCTCCTGCGTAAAGCATAGCTAAGTTGGAGGTCAGGTTGGGTCACTCACAGCTTTTTTCAGTTACAATTTGAGTATGTATCAGAATGGAGAGGTTACAGCCTCTATATCCTGATTCTGCAGCTGACCATGTTTGCTGTGAACAACTCTTCTTCTAAGAGCTGATATGGATTTCAGCTGCAACTTGGGTCCATTGCTCCCACTGAGCATCTCCAAGAATAGTCTGACTCCAACTTCTGAGTATTGCCTGTAGCAAAAACAGTTGAAAGACAACATGACAGCATCTAGAGTCTCCTCTCTTCATTAAGAGTTGGAAGGTAATTTGGCACTGGAGAAGATCAGAGGAGTCTGAGGAACTCCAGTGCTTGAAGCTTTTAAGCGTAAACAAGACAAAGATATACTGAGAAAGGTCTAGACTAGATGCTGTCTTGGACAGAATGGGTTTCTGTGCTGGTCTCTCAAGCATCCTTCTTTCTCCAGTTCCAATTCTACAACATTTTTAAAATTTGTCTTTGTGAAAGTGGAGCTGCAGCACTTTAAAAACAAACAAACAAACAACAAACAGTAAACATTAACTTTCAGCTATCCCAAAGAAGCTGTTCCAAACTATTCCAAACTAAGGATTTACTTTGGTTGTAATCTGGGCTCAGTGTTCATATCCACGGAGGCAAGCAGTTGGTTAAATATGAGAAGGAACAAGAGACAGAGGAAGATGTTTTTTTCATTAGCAGGACAAGTCAGCCATGATTAATGCTGCGAGGAGTGGAGTGATGTTTCTCTCTGTCATCGTCTCTTCCTGGTTGACAGTATCAAATGTGGGCAGTATCAAATGGCCAGAAGGATCTCACAGACAAGATGATTAGCATCAGATGGCTCAAGACAGTTCAACTGAGTTGAAGATGCTCAACTGTGATCTATCATGTAAAGAAATTCTTGCAGCAGAAGTGTAGCTGAAGTGTGACTTCACCACATTGAGAGATTAGTAGACATGAACTAAAATTCCAGATCTAACTACCCAGGAAGCCAAAACTCAAGCTGCAGGACCTTTTCAGTCAAATTGCCCTATGTAACTTCTTTCCATCTTCACAATTCAAAACCATGAGGGAAACATCATCCTGCAAAAACTTCTGCATGCCTTCCATGATTGCAAAAGGTTTTACTACTGGACTCCAATCACCCATTTAATGATGAATTGGATATGGGTTTGATCACCCCAAAACTTCCACCACACATCTGTTGATCATCTCTGTTTAGGAAGAACAGTTTCATCTCAGGGTTCATTTTTCTTA